GTGCCTCCGCATTTTGAACGCCCACCGAGGCTGTGCTCCTAACTTCTGAAATGCCACAGAAAGTTGCCCCTGAGTATAGAAATATCAGGAACTCCAGAGTTCTGTACAACGGTGTGCGTGGCACGAGTACGATCGCAGAGCTTATACCGTTCACCCTTAAAGGGGCGATGCAACAATGTTTGTACTTTGCGCAAATACCGCTTAAAACGGATCCCTGACGTTAACGACCTATGAAACACGCGTTCGTTTTTCACCCCGCGCAATAGGAGTTCCAGAAAAAAAAAACGAGCAGCGTTCACCCCCTCAACACGCAGACAGAACCACGGTGTAAGATAGTACTCTTCAGGTGAGGACAGCGCGCTCCTCGCGCAGTGCAGATAAAGTTCGCTCTTCACTCTCTCTCACTATGGTTTCAAGTGGTGCCGGCAGATGACTCGTCGACCCGTGGGCACGGCAAAGACGGCTCGTGCCGCCTCATGCTCCACACGCGCAGAGCTCCAACGAGGTTGTCGCTCGTGCAGAAAGACCACGCTGTACCGGGCTGTCATGGCAACGAGATAATTTTTTTCGCTCTCACACAGTTTCGCCGTTTGGCCGCCGGCGACACTGTCAGCCGCGGGCACGGTGGCCGCGGAATAATGCAGCCTTTCGGGTGTCCGTCGAACGAACACTATCTGACTCCTCGCGCCGCGCGTTCAGCCCCGCCGTGTCCTCACCTAAAGAGTGTATCTTACACCGTGGCCAGAACAAGCGGCCACGTGATCTGGAGCCGACTATATGCCGCCAATGTTGACCACAGACACGCGCTGGGGTTGGCAAAGCACAGGACACGCGCTGAGGTCCAGACATTGTTATGGCTCGGCTATTGTCGTCGTTGCAGCGATTGGACACGGGCCACTACCCGAATGCATGTCGAGGCATCGATTGTCACGAGCCCAGATCGAATGCGCAGTCTTCGCGTCCACTGCGTGAGCAGCATTTGAATATCGTCACCGCAAAGCTCGATGACGCCTTCCCGGGGATCATACTGTTGCCGTTGTCCCCACAGCTCCGTCATCAAGTTTCGCGAAGGAGAGACTGAAAGAAAAGCTCCGCTTTAATCCTTTGAATTCCGCCGCGACGAAGACGCTTCCTGGTCAGGGGTGTTGCGTTCGAGTATCCTTGGGTCCCAATAGTGCCAGGAAGCTGGTGCAAAGTAAGAGATATTTCTACCCAATGTCGTTGCACAGCCAGCTGAGACTGCAGCCAAAGCTACGAGCGCGAGCTGTAGCCCGCGCTCCTAAAAATTACAGCCTAACCCCCTGCCCCCTCCCGCCCTCCTCTCTCTCCCCCGTGAACCTAGGGAAGGCGGAGATTTGCACGTAACTTGGGTTACGTCGGACGTAACGCTAGACACTTCGTTCCTTTTATTTTTGTCACGGCAGAAGATGCGGCACAATAGCGCGCACACAAGACGCCATCGTGCAACTATCATACAAAACCTTTACAAAAAAAAAATAATAAATAAATAAAGGGGGTGGGGGCTTCTGGCCGGTGTTATTTTTAGTGTTCGTTCGTGTGGCGCGTGATTTGCTCGCTTTCGGAAACGAGGAACATGCGCGTGCTGGGCTGAGAAAATAACACGCTGGGCTAGAATGTACTCGAAGGCGCGAGTGGGCTCATGCTTTCAGTTGCACCTCAAAATGTGGACAGCGATCAGGTGGAACCAAGCCACTTTGATCGCAGCGCCACCTTCGCTGCCATCAAGCAACGACCCAGGTGGCTATATTGTATTTTTCATGCTTTTGACGTCAGAGGTAACGTCAAAGCACCACGACACGACGACGCTACGACGTCATCGTCGACGACGTTACGCGACGCCAAGATGCTGCCGTAAGGCCGTCGTGACCGCGTCGCGTCGAGGACGACGCCGTTACGCGACAGCAAGTCGCCGTTGTAACGCGGTCATGACGTCGCGCGCCACACTGAGGACGACATGGACGTGGTCGTCGATGCCGACGTTGACGTCGACACCCCACGCAACGTCAAACATCGCTATGACGTCGCGTTAACGTCGTCCTGACGCATCGTGAACGTCAACGTCACGACGAAGCCTTGATGGCGTGTAACGTCGTAGCCTTGGCCAGCATCAACGTCGACGCTCAGTCAAGACGAAGTCGTGACGTCGTGTAACGTCGTCGACGATGACGTCGACGTCCTGAAGCTGTTGGGACGTCTTTCTGACGTCGAGTTGCGTCGTCTCGACAATGGCGTCAACGAACTGACACCAAGCGTCCTTATCACGTTGCATTGACAAGGACGCCGTCATCTTGACGTCCCGTGACGTTGTCGTCGTCGTCATCAACGTCAACGTTGACATAGTCGTCGTTGTCAACGCAATATGACGTCAGAACGCAGTCTTGATGTCGTGTAACGCACTTTGTCAACGTCGATAACCACATCGACGTCAAGGCGTCGTCCTGATGTCGCACGGCGTTGTGACGGCAAGTCAGGTCGCGGTGACTATATGTCCGTGACGCCTGACGTCCGGCGTTCGATCGTTTCTATGACCTTGACCAGTGTGCCGGTCGAGCTTTGCGTTGGAACGAAACGCGTTTTTTTTCATAAAAAGTGGCTTGGATTAGCCGGGTTTTTTTCCCACATGCGGAAATATCAAAGTAGCACTCCGGTGGCCCCACTCGTCCTTTCTAGTACACTCTAGCTGGGCTGAGGACTCGTAAATACTGGAATGGAGTGTAGAAGATGCCTTCCTGACGCGAGTTCCCGTGCGGAACAGGTCAAGGAGATCAACGGCATAACGAAGTGGTTGAATAAAATACCTAAGAAGTATTATGGTTACATTGAAATTTGAAAAGAAGGAAGACGATTAAAATCTCTAGTTTAAAGTTGAAGGTACTAATTGAGATATGTCAACTGTTTAGGGCGAATTATAATTCTACATGGCTACAAACACACCTTCAAGTGCTTTTCGTTTTTGGTAGCATTTCTGCACTTCTCTCGCCTTTAATATTTGTGTGCACAGAAAAGGAAAGACGACAACACTCGATCCGCCAAACGAGAAGATATGACGGTTCCCTTCCCAAGAACAATAGACCGATATCTCACTAAGCGTTCGGCGCATGCGTGACACCGCCATAACTTTAGTTCACAGGAGGCAGACGGCCGTGCATGCGAGGGCTCGTGCCGTTTCGTGCTCCCCACGCGCAGCTAGAGCTCCAGCGGGGTTGTCGCACGTGCGGAAAGACTAAAGTTCCCTCGACGCATTGCGGCAGCGGTGGCGTAGTCAAGCTGGCTGCTGATATCGGTCTATTTAAAGAAGAAATAAAAGATCCACCCTTCATTCATAACAAACGCTGTTTATGTAAAATAGCGCGACAGCACGGCCGCGCTGACCCTGTGCACGATGACAGCGCGGCACTCGGAGGGGCTGAGCCACGCGGCCGCCGAGAAGTACAGGCGGGAAGGAGGAACGCAAATGTGGTGCGCAAACATTTATGCTCGCCAACTATCGCGAACCCCTCGACGTTTTTCCGTTTGTCTCGCAAGTGGCGTCAAATGCGCCAGTGCACGAGGACCGTGTCTCCAGCGGCCCTCGGAAGCATATGGCGGCCCAGCACTGAAATGAGCGGCCTTTGGAAGCGAATGACGGCGGATCACCCGCTCGTGGCAAGGGCCTTGCGAGTTTCCACAAGAATAGTTGTTAAAAAAAACATCAAGTTGCTTTATTGCGAACTCAACAGCTGGATCTCCTGAGTAATCCAAGTACCGCCATCTTTTGATCGTGGCGCCGGCGCTGCTGTTGGATGGAGGGATACGCATCGCCATTTTTGGCTCGCATCCGATATCCAGATGCGCACGCTCCTATTGGCCTGTTGTGGTTGCCGGTGACGCGCCGCGGTTTGCAAGCACGCTGCTATTAGCCTACTGTAGATGCCGGCGCCGCGGCGCGGCGACGCATTATCGCGAAAGAACATGCATCGCCGCCTTTTCGGTTGAACGCCTTGTTCAAGATAGGGTCCGTGGGACCGCAGCCTTAAATGTTCCCATTGTGGCTCTCGGCATCGGTTGAATGAACCTCGTTTATCCGATGAGTGACGAACCCTAATACCGCGGTCGCACTGCATCTACATCATACAAAAGACGGTCCGCAGACACTGTCAGGGGCATTCCTGGGATTCCATTGGTCATACAAAAGCTGTAGATGTCAGAGGGCCTTTTCTGCTTATGACTGGTTCAGCGATTGTAAAACAGGTACACAAAGAACACCATTAGAGTGCTCTAATTCTTTTCATCAGATTGCAGTGTCGGCTGTCTCGAGGTGAAGCGAAGTATAGCACGTTTGCTTTTTGCTAGTATGTCTGCATGCCTCTCGGGTTTTGTACTTGTGTGCACAGAAAATTAAAGACTCGTAAGACTGTTTACGTGTAGGAATGCGAAAGCACTCGTACAAGCAGCGCGCCACGTCTTCCTTTTTCACGCGGTGTATCGGCGGCGCGCTCCCGCACTGCGCAGGCGCTGCGAACCCACCGGCTCCACGCCTCACGTGACGATGCATCTGCGTTGCTTTTCTTTGTGTTTTATTTCTGAGGCGCGTCCGATTTGACCTTGAGCGCCCCCGCCGACTTCCGTGACGAAACATCTGGATTGCTGTGCTTTTGGCCAATGGGAATTTAACTGCCGTTTCGCTGCTACAGACGGTTACGGAACAACGCCGGCTTCGCGTAGTTAATGCTTTGGCATTCAAACTTTACATGTTCGATGCGTGTACGAAACAGACATGCTTGAGCCGCGTCCGCATATCTGCAGCCGTGTCTTTTGTATGAGCGACTGCTGCTTTAGCTTTTTATATTATGTAACTCAAGGCCGCTGATTGTGACGTGAGCTGTTCGACAGAATCCGCGGGAGTGTAACCGTTTGGTGAATTTTCGGGTTATCTTCACTCTGCAAAACAACTGCAGCGTCGTGCCCAAGAGCCAAAGGCGCGAAAAGCCAAGACTTACTCAGGATGACAGCCCCGACCAGAAGGCTTATGGTGACGCTGATGAATGTGGACAGCCTCTGCAAGAAAACAAAGAAAACGACGTTTAGAAACACGAATCCTTTTGTGAACCTTGCGAAAAGCGTCACGCGCGAGCGTAACGAAAAACCGTTACACGCAGGCCAAGCAAAAACATAAAGCGTAAATAGCCAGTAGTAGGCAATGCATAAGCCCACAAAGCGTATAAAGAGCGTATTTAGTCACGATTATTCGTACTTAAGCCTATTCAGCGAAATTCGCCACGCGGCGCAGTGGGAATCAAAGCCAGGAACATGCGATTCGCGGCCCGACGCCTTTGCTCAGTGCCACGAAGAGGCGAACGTAGCGAGCAAGCGAGCATCTAGACCACGGTGGAAGAAACACATTTAGGCGATGACTGTGGCCGCTCTTCCCGCGGGGAGCGAGCGACCAGGTCAAGGTAGGGCGAGCGTAAGACGGACCTGGGAGGAGGGAGCAGACGGAACGCTAAAGAGAGAAGAGGGTCTCCCCCTCTGTTCTCGAGTCTTCCGTCTACATCCTCCTCCCCGGCCCGTCCTATCCTCGCTCTACCTTCTTGAGTTGCAACGGACTATAGCCTCAAACCAAGAACAGTTAGTTTTGCGCCGCCGCGGAGGGCGCTGCGGTATGAGGTCCCTCTTCGGCGGCCACGGTGTCGATGGCGTAGCGCGCTCGCCTTTTTCGCGGTGTGGTGGAGTGGTAGTGGTATTGTAAGCGGTGAGAGAGTGCAGGCCAGCTGGTAATTAATCGACATCTTGTAAACCCTGACATGGGGAACGATAAAAAAAAAAACGGACGAACACAACAAAATCTCTAGTGTAGATCACAGGTGTGCTCGCCTTTTTCGCGGTGTGGTGGAGTGGTAGTGGTGTAGATCACAAGCAAAACACGAGGACAGTGGCTGGCCTCGTGGTTTGCTTTGGTGCTGTGTAGATCACAGGTGCCACCATCGTGCACGGAGGTGAGCCTTTTAACCCGACAAAGAAGGAAGAAAACACAGATTTACGGACTCTGGCGACTTGTTGGAGGCGTGGCGGCGGTGAGGTCAACTACACGTGGTGAGCGAGGGAATGCGGGACCACCGCCGGGAGAAACAACCGGAGCGGTCGGTTTGGGAGGGACCCCATACTTGGGCGCCATCTATCCCCGTGCGAGTGAAGCGCTCGGTGCGCCGAACATAATGTGGCCGCCGTGTCACATGCACACATCAAGAGGCCAGAAGAACTCTTTTCCATCACTACACACTATCTGGACTGCCCTATGGAACTATTCCAAAACTTTTGAACCCCTGAGGAACCAGAGGAACAGCGGAGAAAGCCTTCCGCGCTCTTTTGCGTTTTCTTCGTGACACTGGACTGGCGGATGGACCGTGATTTGCTTCCACTTGGGCGGAAATTTATAACTAGGTTAGTTGTTAAAAATTGACATTTGAACTCCCCTTTTCTGCATATAATTTTCATCTTCCCTCCTTCTATCCTTTTTCCCCAACAACCAGGTAGCGACTTGCCCCTTACTTGAGGCCCACACATCTCCTGGTTTCCGCCTTTCCCGACACCTCAGAATAAACAAACAAACAAACGCCGCGTGAGACAGATAGTCATCACCTAAATGTGTTTCTTCCTCCGTGATCTAGACCAAATAGCCTGAGGCAGCGAGCGACCGCATACAGTTGGCTCCCGAATGACGAGGAGTAGCTCCCCACCTGGTCTCATAGCGCCGCTGGGCGGATCTATAAACGCACGATCACGCCGAGCAAACGACTTCGCACAGCAGTCAATAGAAAGAGTAGGGGCCCCTCGCGACAAAGGACGTCATGACTTACATCAAGCAAGGAACTAATGAAATCTGGCTCTCCGGCCCGCATACGTAACTACGCAGCTTAGAAAGCTGAAACTTCGTGAGATTGTGGAGCTAGCGGGGTGTGATAAAATGGGAAGGTTTGAGCTGATGGCGTTACTTAAACGAAAAGATACAAATGAAAAACAAGATTTTTGCATGAGCCGACGTCTACGTAAACCCGGGGTCACACTGCTCCTGCATCATACAAGAGAGAGTCCGCGTACAGATTCGAACGCGAGTAACCGCGAGATCCGTGTTTCGAATGCCGCAGGGCAATGAGTACGAGGAGGAAACTTGGGCGCGCGGCATTCGAACCACGGATATTGCGGTGACTCGAGCTTGCAGACTGCCTTTTGTAGGATGCATGGATGAGTTTCGTACCGGCACGCGTTTGTGTGATCACTACTGCGTGATGCACGTTAAAAACTACTCCACTGGCTAAATTTCTCATCTACAGCTAAGAGACCGATTACCCGTTGAGGCGCATCTCCATCAAGGCTGTATATACATACAGAGCCGGTTTTAACCTTCATCAAACCAAAATTTGAGATTGCGGGCGCCTGCAGCAATTATTTCAGCGAAAGAAAATTTGTCTACTAGAGACGACATTGTTCTCTTTCTTGCTGAAAAGTTTATTTCACTGACGTAAACGCTATACCATCGCCCCCAATCTCAAATATCGGTTTGACGAAGATGTAGGCTTAGGTGGACGTCGGCTCATTTTTTGGATATTTTAATTTAGGTGACGTCATGTACTCAAACTTTTGCATTCTATCAGCACCCCTATAGAGTCGCATTCTCATAAAGTTCCAGCTTTCTGCGATGCGTAGTTTATTTATACGGGCCGAAAAACAATGTATTATTTTCTCGATCTACGGGGCCGGTACTTCAATTACCTCTTGGACTGCTTGTCGAACTTCAAGAGAACAAAAAATAAACATAAAAAACCCACATAACACACTGTCGAAAAAGAAAAAAAAGCCACGAAAACTTTAAAGTCCACTTTGTACACGCCGCACTTTTGAACAAACTTGAACTTGTCGAAATAATTTTGATAAGCCCGAAGAGCACATCAGTGTGTCGTGCATCTGAAATCACCAGAGGCTTCCCTAGCCATAAACAAGCATAACAAATCATAACGCAGGCGTAATGCACGCACGACAAATTCTGTGCTCTAGCTCTAAGCTTATCCCCATGCTCGAGACACATTTAAATACATTTTCTAGCCTGAGTCAAATAGACCGTTGAGAGGGAATCGAAGATAACGAAGAATCCAGACTGTACAGTTTATTTCATCAAGTTTTGAATCATATCGAGATGTAATAACTTCTTTCTGACTTCCCCCTGATAGCGTAATCAACAGCGTACAGGCATTGACTTTATTTCGTTCTTCGGCAAACCAGGAGACTAGGAACGGTAAACCCCCCCCCCCCTCCTTTTTTTTTTAAAGTAAGTTCAACTGCCTTTTTACGTGGCTTCTTCATTATACTTGTTGCGAGTACGAGCTGATATAATGGCTTTCTTTTTTGATCAGTACGTATCCTATAACGAATAGGGTTGGCGTCCAGTCAAGAATTTTATAGCCGTCGGAGAGGACCTTAGAGTAAGCGTTTTTAAATACGAATTACGGTGCATCCGTAACTCCAGTAACAGAAGAGAGAGAGAAAAGAAACGGAAACGACACACCGAAAGGTCGGCGCAGAAAGTTGTGTTGTGTCTGTATTGTGCTATTAGACAAGCAATGAACTTGTCTACGTTCGTTTGTTTAGCTGCCCTGCTTCCGGCAGCGCACCCAAATAGGCCTCCCATTTGCACACAAGAAGGGAGACACCCAGGCAAAACAGCAAAGCGGACAGCGCTGCGTGAGTGTCTCCCTTCTTGCGCGAAAATTGTTTGTTTGTTTTCGTGCGCTGTGCCATCGGAGGTACGAACAACCGACTAGCCCAAACTGCAGCCTTACCTGCCGAACGCGCCCACGTGCTCTTAAACGCGTCAGCGTTTATCGCCCTGGTGCATGTGCTTCGTTTGAATGGTCCTTGGTTTTGGACTGGACTGGTTTGCGGTTCCAGTCCTGTTCTTTCGCTCCGTTTGTTCGCTCGTTTCGTCAACTATGCATCCTGCCTAAGGGGGAAACATAATTCCCGCACGCTTCCAAGGACGCGCCGCGGAAGCGGGAGGGGATCGAGCGGCCGTGGCCCGTGGCACAACTAGAGCACTATATAGCTCCTATACACTCCGTGCGACGCGACCGGCGCGCCGCCGCGCGGCCGTTACCGAACGTAGGCAGTGAGAGCCCCAGCGAAACGAAACCACGCCGCGCACATTGGTACACATTGAAGTCGGAGCGGTGCGGTTGCGCTGGGTCGACAGCATGAACTGCTGCGTCGTTAAGTGCTCCGATAGTTATTCGTCGTATCTCGTGGGGACGAGGTTTCACAGTTTTTCACCTGGCCGATGTTTTGTGGGACAGCGACAACGATGGGCCCGTGCCGTACGACGCGAGAAATTTGGTATTCCGATCATGTCTGCCACTGTGTCGGTACAGCTGACATATTCTACACTGGCGCTTTGCGCTCTGCGTTTGTTTTTGTACCAGTAACGCCTACATATCTCAGTTCGAACTGAAATTCCAACCCACACTCGCGGGTATGCAGTGCCCATTTCGTTGGAGGAATGCCCTCCAAAGAAGTTCTGTCCCCATCGAATGTGTCGATGATATTTCCGGACCAGTGTGGCATGCAGTCTGTACTTCATGAAGAAAGATTCGGACGGTACAAAAAGTGACAAATATAAATCTAAGGAAGACTGCAATGAAACTTAGAATCACTGGACAATCGATGTTTAAAGTTTATGTGGTGTGCTCTCTTTTTGATCATCAGCCTCCTTTTGGATGTGGGGATGCTGACACCCCGAGTCTTGTAGACAACCATTTTTTTCTTTTCTCGGCTTTAGAGCCACCTATCTCAAAGTTGTTCGAACTGGAAGTACCGTCCACTGGTCTCTTCCTACCTGTAAAGTGTGCACCTCCCGGCCATGATGAATGGTATTCTCTTGACAGCCTTTGACGGTCAAAACCGGTTCCCATTTAGTTACGCCGCCCAAAAATATTTCCACCAGGTTAAACTGTGCCACCTCTTTTAGGTACAATATGTGTTCTGTCAAGTTACGGTTGTCCAAGTACCTG